AGGTAATGAGCTCCATATAACTTATCACCAAATTGTTAACAACACATCTAAATGAATGCTAGTTACAGAAAGGCAAAGCCTGATTTCCTGTGCATCTTAAAAAGGACGCAAAGGCGAATGCTTGTAGACAGTGAAGTGAAAACCAAGAGTCAGCTTCCAACCAGCAGTAACTGTCAAGCAGTGGGTCTCTTCACATCAGTAGCAGGGGGAAGATGAATGATGCCACAGGTCTGTCAGCCAGTTTATTGCAAAAGCTTTGTAGTCTCTTAAAACACGGCCAAACCTTTACTTAATCCAGGGTTATGAAGTCACAGTAATATTTTCTTTTTTTTTTATAGCCTACACATTTGACAATGGGGTGCAGTTTTTTAAAAAATTTACAGGGAAGGCATTTGGTAAGCAGTGGCTAAATAAGATTACAACACAACAAAACAGGGGCTTAGTGGTTGTGATGTTGAAACAATAGTGTCGTGTTTTTTTCTTTTTAACTTATTACTATTTAACCTTTGGCTAACGGCTTGTCAATTACAGGATGTTAGTTGGTGAGTGTACGTTTTTACAAACTGATCCAGCCCTTGTTCTGGTATCTGGTTTCAAAATACACAGATGGCAAATAGGAAAATCATCTGCACTGATAACTGGATATTTTTTCTCAGCTCAGAAATACTGTGCCTATGCTTAACTAGTACTTGTGTCTCTTCTGAATACTGGTGCAGCAGTGATGGTGGTTCATCTTACTAGCTTAGAGGAAAGTGTCCTAAACACTGCTGAGTCACGCACTGTTCACCCCCTCACAATAGTTGACAAATAGTGGGCTCACCTTCATCTTCACAGATGATTCAGTGGCTGACCAGGAGACAAGCAGAGTGGGTTGCATTTTTGTCACAACATCTCAAGCCCTCTGGCAACTTATGAGAGGCACATATTCAAGGCCCTGTCTCCTGTGTCTGGCCGACACTAGAGACAGCTGAATTGGGAGTGAGGTCTCACTATCCCACAGTAACAGTAGCCCACGCATGAGACACAGCCACAAGCAGACCACAGACTCATGGCTATGTCCCCGCTTCAGTTTTTGTATCTACCATTTAATACTGAGTATTACACTTGACCAAAGTCGACTTCTCATGTTTAAAGCTCATCTCATGTTAAAAATCGAAAACTGACAAGACTGCATCTGCACGGACTACAAGTGAAAGCAATTTCTTCATTCAGTGTTCTTTCAAAGCCTTCTCTCAAATGTGCTACTTTGTCTTGAATTAAGCAGCTATTATATACATTTCCCAAAAGGTTGGATGGTTCCTTGGCAGGCTTTCTAACAGAAACTGCACAGCAAGACGTCTGTACCAAGGACTGATACTAATTCCCTACAATCTGTTAGGTTACGAACACAGACCTAAAATCCATCAAAACACAAGAACATAAGCACAAAGAGCACAGAAACATTAAATGGCAGGTCTAATGAAAAGGAGTAATGAACAGAAAAAGAACATATATCCATCAGCACAGCCAACAGCTAAGTACATAAGCCATTAGCTAGGCTTAAACATTGACAGAAAGACTGATTCATCTGTTACCAATTTAGCTACAAACCAAACGGCAAAAGCAGAAAAAAAAAAAGGGGGGGGGGGGAAGGGAGCTTAAATGGAAAGAAGCAGTGAATCACACTGTAGCCAAAGTCATCTCTTAAATAGAATCATCTCAGGTAATGACCTCCAGACAACAGCTTCCTCTGTGAGTCAGAATAATTGGTCCAATAGAGCGTTAATACCAAGCCAAGACCGGAGAAAGAGGGGGGAAAAAACTAAACTAAACTAAACAACAACAACAACAACAACAACAAAGAAAGAAAGAAGTGTTCTTGTAGCTTCTCTAACTTAAAGGTCAGAAATAGAGGGGTCAGCCATCGCTGTGAATCCTCTTCACTGTCACCTCAGTCCTGCCTCATTCTGTCAGGGCCCAGACCCCTCCAGTGGTTCCTGCTCCTCACTCTGCAGCTGTCATGATATTTATGCACCTCCTCAGACACAACACTACACACATTAGATTTACAGCATCACTCAAACAATGATGGGTTGTAACCCCTATATGAAATATTGCAAAATGCCAGTATTATTTTCAGGTGGCCACAAACTGTGCCACATGTCATCTGCACAATGTACTAAAACAAACAAAACACAACAACAAATAACCCCAGAAGGGTTTTTCTTACCTACAAACATGTTTGGTCCCTCACAAAAGAGATTTTAGACTATAGTAAAATAAAATCACCAGCACAAAAATGATAAGAATCAAGACTACAAATAGCACTTTAAATGTTTCTGACATTTGTGTTTATCAAATGGTCAAAAATAAGATAAAAATAACATGAAAATGCAAAGATTAGGGTCAGATAATGTCATAAAAAATTTTTTAAAAAAAACACTGAAGGTGGGTGTGCAGACAAATTAATTTGTATGAGGGCACTGATATAAAAGTTGAAACTATTGATGGACTGACTGAAAATAATCAATAGATATTAATCATAGTTAAAATAAATTACATGTAGTTGCTGTGCTCTGGGCGCCACAGTGCTTTGTGTGTGTGAACCACCACTATCTGCTCTTCAAAGGGAAAAAAAGAACAGTAGAACATCACCAGCAGGAAACCCACTGCAAGCATGACACACCCATGCAAGCATGACATGTACCCATACAGCATTGCTAAAAATGATAGATATAGATGGAATAGGTTGACCTTGAAAATGTGCCGCATAATATCCAGTTTTGTCACCCTTTCATTGAAAAACACATACATAATGGATGCTATCCAAAAGGTTACCTTGTGGAACATTTCCTATTTTCAGCACTGTGTTCTCAATATTTAGTTTTTGTCATTTTTTAAGCTATTGGTTAAAAATGTTCATCCACAACCCAAATCTATTTTTTATTGTGTTTATTTGTTTTTTTAAATATACTATTAATAAAGCAGTTACTCAGCAGTAACTACCACACAAGGTCCAATTTTGACAACAGAAAGAAAATGGTAGGGAAAGCAAAAAAAAAAAAAAAACACATAAAAAAGAAAAAAAGTGCCATGTTTATTTCTGCTGCCATCTTTCAACAGCTTCATCCACATTCCAAACCACCTACCCAAATAAGGTTTACCAAAGGGTACACAACCACAAACTGCTTGCATACAATTTAGAATCACCAATCAACTCAACATGCATGGCTTAGGACTGTGGATGACCTGGAGTACATAAGCGAAAACTGTGCCGGTACAGGGAGAACATGCTAATTCAACACAGAAAGGCTCTGGCTGAACAGGAAGTAGAAATCCAGAACTTCCTTGCTGTGGTAAGCACTGCACTATTGTGCTGCCCAAACATAAAATTGTCACATTAAATGGAAAACAACAGTTTTTGTATAAAGTAGTGAATGGTATTTGGTTAACCCCTGGCCATGCAACATGCCCCCAAATTAGTCCCCATGGCATGCCACACCTTGCATGGAAGCTCTGTCGCCACTAGTGTGTGAACAGAGAGTAAAGATTACATTATTGTATTTTATTCATGTTTTATTTTCATTTACTCTAATGTGTTATATACTTCTGACAGGGCTCTGTAAGATTTTTTTTAAACAACTAAACAAAACAAAATTACATATTTTTGGTATTTGTTTTTCATATGCAAGTAACATGTAAGTGATTTTCAAGGAGCAGGGGGTGTAATTATGTAGACCAGGCAGAAAAAGTGGCTTTTTATTTCCTCACATTTTTAAACAGTTTAAACATTGACACAGAACATGTTCAGGTAATCAGGTAAGGTCTTTGTGGATGATGGTAATGTAACCGAATTCCCTGAGGACAACAGACCCATAGCTGAGCACCGCAAGCAAAATTTGATCTCTGTTTGAACAAAGCCTGATTCAGGTGAGGGTTTTTCCACTGTGGAAAATGACGGCAATGGCTAGAAAGGCATGTTTGTAAGGCAGTGCTAATATTAGCAAGTCTTATCAGGACAAACTGTATAAGACTGGGGAAGTGACAAAAAGATATCACTGTGGATTCTCTGCCATCACCCAGGAAGTTGGGGAAACTTAAACAAATTGGACTGGTGACCATCAAAATGACAGGGATATCACAGAGGCTTGTCAGGACCGCTCAATCTCACCCTGATGCTGACAAGAGATGATTGAGGCAGGTGTGGGGCCCAATCCATTTCCTGTACATATATAACAAAACTATCAAAACCGAGAGAGGAGTGGCACCTCTTGGCTGTGAAATTTGTTCAATGAGCAAATGAAGTGAGCACAGCAAAACCCATTTTGGCTGTTTCAATACTGAACTGAGTAAGAACTATAGCGGTATAGTTTGTTTAGCATCTGAAAGAAGCCTTCAAACAAATTGCAATTGACAAGAGGTGGATCTAAGTTCATCTGATAACAGTTTCTTACTAAAAAAAGAAAAAAAAAGAAAAAAAAGAAATATAATTTCATATAAAATATAACAGTCAGCCATAGTAAATAACTCTACAAATGTAGGGTTTCAAACACTTTTTGGATTTATTATTGCATGACACAGGAGTCACTGCTGGACTGTAGATATTCTGTAAAAATCCCACAGAAGTGCGTCTCTGCCATGCTGGTCAAAAATATTACCATCACTGCCTCCAGTGTTACTACTTGCGTAGAAGTGCTTTAAGTGCACCAGTGAAAAATTCTCAATTTCACTGATGGAGTTCATTTATGTAGTGCGATCAATGGCATCAATATCTCTGACTCAAGTATTACACAATAGCTAATACTCCCAACACACACAAAGAAACACCTTTAGCCCTGAAATGAAATCAAACTCACAGTAGCTCTACACCTGAACACCTAAATGCCAACAGATAAAGTAGAAGCACCATTTAGAACAAATTTCCTCAAATGTAATCCCAAGGCAGTTTTGTCAGAAATGCACTTGGGCCCAACAGACTTAAGTCAGTAAGTGTGACTAATACTTGACAAAAATTAGTGTACCTGCTGGGGGCCCTCCCCGTTGACCATGGCTGGGGGTGGTGGTGAGGCCAGGATTGGGAGTTCAGGGCTGAGAAGCTGGCCAGACTCCAGAGGTGGCGTGTGGTCTGCCATGTCTCCCTCATTCACACCACTGAAGAGGTACTGCTGCAACGAAGACAGAATGATCAATGGAAATGTACAAAGTGTACCAAAAAGGTTTATGACGTCAACATCTTAAGTCTTGGGAGTCATTCAGCCTGTGCTGAGAAATACATTTACCTATAATGTCTGCAGGCTGCAGCTTTTTTCTCCTCTCTGTCTGTACACACTATTAGTCCTTTTCCACTAGTACCTACACGTCCTGGCTCAACTCAGCTTGACTGGGTTTTTGCGATCTTGCATTAAGTGGTAGTAACCAGTAACAAGTACTTTTTTAGTACCTACTTGGCTGGGTTTTCCGGGCAAGCTGAATTGACCGGAAGATGTGATGTCAACAGACTGCATGCCACTGTCAACGGCATCACTTGACAAGTCACGAAAGCAACTCCATCACAGAAATCAAAACCGGCATTTTGGATGCCTATAAAGGAATCATGGTACCTTTATAAGCTACCATGATGCTTGACAATTTTGAGCTTGCAGAAAACGCATAGCAACTTTCTCAGAAGAAACAGTAGTAAGCATGAAGGACCAGGGTTGATCCTTCTGGGTCCCCACATTCATAAATTAGATCAAATCAAATCATCAGTCACCTTTTAAAGACTTATTAGTAGAGCTGGGCGATATGGCCTAAAATCCATATCACAGTATAATTTGAAGCATGTGCGGTAACGATATATATCGCGATATATTCTTTTCTTCTGTATAACGTATTTTACACACTATAAGGCACACTTAAAATCCTTTAATTTTCGCAAAAATCGACTGTGTGCCTTATGTATGAATTCTGGTTGTGCTTACTGACCTCAAACCAATTTTATGTTGTACACAGCGTGCAGAAATCTGTCAAAAATGTTTTAGTACAACTTTGGTAAGCTATGAAGCCGCACCGCTTGATGGATTGCCAGAGCGTTACGGCTACCGTAGTCAGGAGGCTCTAGTGACTTCTGTAGGGTTACTGAAGTTGGACTAGCTGGTATATAATGATGTCCTACGTGATCACTAGCAAAACACCTATGTTAGCATAACATTAGCACAGTGAAGCTGAAAGATGGACGCTAAACCTTTTCCACTCGATCAAAGTTAACATCGGGTTAGGGACAAATGCAATCACATGGCAGGATGCTGTAAACAGACCAAACTTCAGTTAGGAGAAAAACTGAGATAATCCCTCCACAATATGAGGTTAGTCATTAATATACTGCAACAACATGGGAATAGAGCAGCTGCAAGAGAATTCAGCATTAATGAATCAATGGTAGGGAAGTGGAGGAAGCGCAGTTTTTGTCTTTCCCCATATTCCAAAAGTCCTTCGTCTCTTTGCTATGACTGTTGTCTGGCATAATTTGCAGATGATGTTGCAGCCACTGCAATGCTTTCGACCAAAACAGGCGCAGCTTGATGACACCATCAACATGCGCTATCGCCGTAGAGCGGTATAGTCAAAATCTCTACTGTTGGCCAAATTTATATCGTTTCTACCGGATATCATTTATACCGCCCACCCCTAGTTGTTAGATCAAACTAACTGAATTCTGAATTATGTCAAGATTATCACTGATCATTTTGGGAGTTTCTAGTGACATGGTTTTTTTTGTTTGTTTGTTTTTTGTTTTGTTTTTTTATGTACACAGGGGCTAAACTATGGCTACGTCCACACGTACACGGGTATTTTTGAAAACGGACCGAAAATGCCGTTTACGTGTGGACGAAAGGTGCAAAAGCATAGAAAAATCTGCGTTTTCAAAAATACCCGGGTACGTGTGGACGTAGCCTATGTTGGCCACATTGTAAAAAACATTAAACAACCAAGTTTAGCATCTACAGTTGACTTGGGATGACAATTATTTTTAAAAAACAAACAAACAAACAAACAAACAAAAACAACAACACTACCTTGCAATTACAGAATTGGCTGTCTGGTCCAAAATGAAGAATATTCATTACTCTAATATTCTAATGTCTCCATGTAAACCATTCATTGATAGTCACGACTGACAGCTTGCTTACCTACTCTCATGAGCACCAGTGATTCTGACTTTTGGGGCGTTTGACAAAAACTGTGACTACTCTAAAGACACACAGTTCCCTTCTGTTTGCTAAGGAGAAACAATATTTTGCAGTATTTTATCAAGTTTATTGTGGTAGCTTGATTACTTGACCTGCTATGTGCATAAATTTGCCAATGGTGGCTCAGTGTGTTTTCAGTAAGCTCATTTTTGCTTTGCTGAGAGGTTTAGGGACATCAAATCAAGCTCTAACTTAAAACAGTGGGTCAAATCACAACACTTGACACACATTTTGTAAATTAAGACACAGACATGTCCTAAGGAGTGGCCTTAAGATGAACTAGTGGCAATTTGGTGCAAAGCTTAATTTATTTCTGGATACATCCATCGTTTCTCACTTCCAGCAACATAAACTCTATTGAAAGATATTTCTCTGATGCATGAGTTGAGGATGGCATCTTGTCTAAACCCAAGACTAAATGCAGAGTAAAAAATGTCGTGCAATTAAAAAGTTTTTACAGTCTTTATTGTTTCTTTCTCTTGATTAGAGAGTGTTCAATGATTCACACTGAAACTGTATATACACACACACACACACACACACACAAGGTTGGTGGTCGATAACCACCTCCTCAAGTCTGCGTTCAACATGCTGAACACCAAAGTGCTTAAAGTGCAAAGACCAAAATAGCTTTATAAATTATGTATGTGATGTTTAAACGTTGTCCTTAACAGTCTGTATCAGAAATTGTATTGGGTTAAGGAAATTATTGTTTTATTAAATGTACAATGCCAGTTACATCTTTACTGATTCTAAGACGTTAGGTCTGTGACTGCTGATGTTGGCACTGTTAATGGTAGCCATTCAGCAAACAAATAATCCGCCATGATGTTTGTACAATTTGGTGCATGTTACAAAATGCCACACATTTCAGTGACATTTAAAAGTCAATTTTATTACTGGAAAATGTGACTAACAGTTTCAAATGGCTTTTAAATATACACACAATCTTTGTATAGCCAATATTTGACCCTCATCCGTTTCAAAAGGCTCAATTTTGGCTGTTTACTGAGTACTTAATTACATCACACTAGCCAACTAGTCAGATTTTTTCCTCGTTTAATAACTTTTTAATCAGATATCAGGAATATCTTGTGTGTGTGTGTGTGTGTGTGTGTGTGTGTGTGTGTGTGTGTGTGTGTGTGTGT